AGCAGGAATATCATTAGACCTAAAGGCAACCTCAGGACCTTTGCTTCTTAAAAGGTATCTGTTGCAGGAGCAGAGGAAGTTCGTGAAGTAAGCCCATAAGCAGACAGTGCAAGCAGTGTCTCTCCTCACTCTGCAGATAATGTCCTCCACACCTCATGTGAAGAGAAGGTTTTTCATATGGCCACTTCTCCAGCTTGCTGTGCTTTCCTGATCTGTTCATTGCTGGAGATGGCAACAAAACATTTCCAGTCTTGCTAGGAAAACCAAGCAAGAATATTCAGGCCAGACAAGAGATGCTCCTCTCAGAACCTCTTGTTATTGTTCCTTGTTTTCCCTGACCAGTCTGGTGGAAAATCAAGAAAAGAGCAAAATAATTTCCTGAGTTACTTGGTATGGTTGAGATGACAGACTCACTGCAGCCTTCAAGGGGAGAGGACAGCATTTTTCTAGCAGCACTGTTTTTTCTGTCCCAGCAAGCCAGAATTTAGCATTAGACCTTCTATTTCTAAATCTGACTGCAGTGAATAGCAGGGCTTTACCTTACCCTGGATAATCTTACTTTTGTTTTACTTTGTTCTGTGGTTGACGATAATTACTTTTATGATCTCATACAGGCTAGATGTGTGAGCTAGACACACGATAAGCCAGACAGTAATTTTATTGAAAGAGTTTTTACACTTAAGGGTCTCAGCTCTGTTTTCTGCGCAGGATGACTTGGCAACTGTCAGAAGAACAGGTGCTTCTTTAATTTTAGAAGTCTTTGACCCAACTACAACTGATGGCTGGAATTTATATCTCACAGGAACCAGGAACTATTTGCTAGTTTATGTGTGTCATGGACTAATTCAAGACTTGAATAAGTCTTACTGTCTGAGTGAGAAAAGGGCACAACTCCCTTAATTCTTTTCACTCTTGTGGAGCTGCTCCTAATGATAAGGCTGGTTGTAAAAAATGCTGCGTAGGTGGATTAAGCAGCATCTGCATGATTTGCCAAAGCGGAACCATTTCTTTGCTTAAGACTAGATCTCTGTCTAATAAAGGTACAGCTGCATCTGCATTGCAAGTTAAACATGTCTGCTTTACTTCTAGGTAATAGCTCAGCAAGTTTCAGAGGAGAATTTACAGGAAGGTCGTCTGTACCCTCCGTTAGTCACTATTCAGCAAGTGTCGCTGAAAATTGCTGTGAGGGTAAGTCATTTCAGTCTTTTGTGGCTTCATTTCTTCCCATGCTCTTAGCATTTGATTTGATCAGCTGACACACCTTCCCACAAGCTGAAGTTGGTTTACATCAGTCAATCCTGGACAAGTAGCAGTTTCAAAATTAAATTTAAATTCATAAATATAAATGTAATCCAGGTACAAGAAAGCAAGCTGTGGAACTATAGCAAGTGTTTATGTCTGTAGAACCCAAGATGTCCTGTCCAGCAGTTAGGAGCAGGTCCCCAGGCTTATAGCCATGCAGACTGCACAGCAGAAGGCTTTTGGCCCTTCCTGATTATCAGTTGCATGTCAAGAGAGTCAAGAGAGTAAATGTCACTCTGTGTCCGAACACTGTTCCCTTTTGCTCCCATCGTTACTCTGGCCTATCAGAATAACCCACTACAGGGAATGCTTTTTGTTTATGGCTCAAGTTTGGGTCAGGGGGTGTTCGGTTGGTTGTTTTTCACTGGCAAATACAGAGCTGGTGCAATGGATTTTCAGTAACTGACCTAAATTTGCAGCTTCCCAAGAAATTTGGTGGTCCTGGAAAGAAGAGGAAGCTTTCAAATACTGTAGTTATCCCAGTTCCTCCCTTGTTCTGTTTCTTAGGAGTTTTTTTCTGCAGCATTTTAAGAGGTTATTTTGCTGGTCTTCTGTGACTTTTTTTGCTCTGATTATTTTTTTCTTTCTTGATCATCTTGCTGTGAACAAGTCCACTTAATGCATATTCTTTTAAAAGAACAAAAAGGAGCCCTCATGCATGAAACAGTTCCCCTAGCTTCACTCATTCTGTATATATATATATATATATAAAATAAATCCAGAGTTCACATTTTGGGGTGATCTTATAGCAGCCTTCCAGTACCTGAAGGGGCCTACAAGAAATCTGGGGAGGGACTTTTTATAAGGGCAGTTAATGACAGAACAAGGGGAAATGGGTTTAAGCTGAAAGAGGGTAGGTTTAGATTAGATATTAGGAAGAAGTTCTTTCCTGTGAGGGTGGTGAGACACTGGCACAGGTTGCCCAGAGAAGCTGTGGATGCTCCATCCCTGGAAGTGTTCAAGGCCAGGCTGGATGAGGCTTTGAGCAACCTGATCTAGTGGAAGGTGTCCCTGCTGATGGCAGGGGGGTTGGAACTAGATGATCTTTAAGGTCCCTTCCAACTCGAACCATTCTATGATTCTGTGATTTTCTTAGGCGAGTAATGACTCTGTTCTATAGATGTCAAAATGTTACCTCAATTCCTCAGGCAAAATCAAACTGCCTGTGTGTTTGGCAGAAACACAGCGATAGAAATTCCTCCTCTACTTGTGTGTGTTATATAAAATACAAAAAAGGAAAATGTTACCAAACAATTCTTTCTGCTTGATCTCCGTTGAATCTTTATTCCTGCAAATACCTGTTCTGGCTCAGAGCCCAAGAGGCTTAGCGATGGCCTCTGCCTTTTCTAGGGGAGGAATACTCTCAAAATTTTTTGGAACACCAAACGTGGAGTATAAATTCAGACCTATTTTAACCGTGATAATTATGCACACAGACCTGAGGATGAACTCACATAAACACCCAAAGTGCTTCTCAGTCAAATCTGGTTGGGCTTCAGAGTAATCCTAGAAAGGAAGTCTAAATACGGTAACTTGGGGTCTCAGCTTCTCACCAGGCTAAAACATTTATGTCTTGAAGGGAGGGCTAAGGAGAGCAGGAAGGAGACCAACTTGCTTTTAGTCAAAGTAGAAGCATTTACCTGTTTGCCAAATACAGTTTGAAGTGGATCTTTCCAGAGAGCACTGCTGTGTAAAACCAGTCTGTCAAACTTGGTTTCATAGATAACTGTCCAGTCTAAAGATACACATTTCTCAAGGAGGTGTTCTTCAGACGTGAGAGGCTACTTTGATTTGATCAGCTAACACACCTTTGATGTGTTGAGTGGGCTCCAACCCCTTCTAAACTTCATTTTTGTTGCAGCTATACTTGTGATGCATAATTGATTCACTTAGGTATGGTCTAGGTGAGAAAAAAACAAGCGAATATTCATATTTCCCCCAACAATCTCTTAGAATTGAACGTGTGCAACTGTGTAGGATGTACTTTTTCCTGTGAGTTTACCTTTGAGAAATATGTTATAAAACTACAGCAAACAGTAAACTTCTTTCACATGCAGGGAGCACGGAGCTTTGAACAAATCACACTTTCTGTACAGTGCTGTGGAGGAGATGGTAACCTAGCGTAACCTGATGAAAGAAAAGCAGCAATTTTATCTCAGTGCTTGTAGAATATTTTATCCACCACTGCACAATAAAAGCTAAGATATTACTGGGCAAGGAGGAGCACTGTGTGTGTAACAGCAGAGACATGTAACTCTGTTCAGAAGTAGCATGTGTCAGACTCACTTACATGCAAACATCATCCTGCTCCTTGTCTTATTTGCTGTATGCTAACCAGGATCCAGTGTGAGATGGAGATCCAGAGAAGATGAAGTCTTACCTTGATTTTGAACTGATTCCTACTTTTAAATCCTGTTAAATGTACTCAAATAGTTTATCAGAACTAATTGGGATTTGAATGCATCTTTGCAGATCGCAGAAGAAGCCTACAGGAATAACACTGCTTCCACCTATCCTCAGCCCAAGGACCTAGAAGCCTTCATCCGATCTCAGGTTTACAGTACCGACTACAGCAGCTTTGTGGCCGACTCCTATACCTGGCCTGAAGAAGCCATGAAAGTGAAACTGTAAATACTTGACGAAGAATGAACAAACTAGCAGCAGTTAAAAAGCATTAAAATATTCAGAACATTTCTGCCCAGGAAGCCTAAGAAGAGCTAATTTTTTAAGATGCAGAAAACTTTTTCTAAATTGTAATACGTGGTTAGCAGCTCAGATTAAGAAATCACATTGATTATACATGAGAAAATAAAAAATAGCCTGAGAAATATATTTGTGTGGTTTGGGGTTTTTTAATTATTATTTTACTTGAGATATCCTACCCTGTAGTTTGACAGATCTTTTTGTTATCAAAATAAGGGTTTGTACCTTGAGTTCAGAATTTTGTCACAAACATCAGTGAGGACCTAAGGAGGCATATGGTACCACGGAAAATTAAGAAACACATACGATGACTGTTAATCCATCACAGGTCACAGTGTAATTTGCATAAATTATCACACTATTATCTAAAAATAATTTTTAAAATCCCCAAATTCACTTTAAAAAGCAGTAAGTTTAGAATATTTTCCTCCAAAGAAAAGCTTAAGGTCCCTCCTGTGTGGAGTAATGAAGATGTTCTGATGAGAACTGAACCTGCAGAACCTTTTGTTCACATCTAATTAGAGTATTTTAACATTACTTAGCTAAGCTAAAGTCCTGTAAATGAGCAAATATTTAATTCCCCCACAAGATAATTGCTGTTCTGATACGCTGCAGTTGTTTGGCCTAAAGTTCATGGACGTGCTTGGTCTCCATGTTCTTGACAAAAAGGGAGTACCAAAATGTTATGAATAGGCTTCTTCTTGACTAAGTATTTTCATACAAACATCAGTTATCTGGCTAGTAACAGGGTTTTTATGTATGAAACCTAACGAATTCCCATAGTACTTGAGGCCAGTGTATATTTAAACACACACCATATGTGATAAAAGTATTATTCTTTGTAAAAAAACTCACAAATTGTCTACTAGGTGAGTAATTATTCTGGGGAAGAGAGTTCATCATTACAGGGGGAGCAAACAGATTTTATGCATTCTTTGATATTTACTGAATATTTCTCTCGCTTACTACTAATTGAATGATCTGGTGTCCTGGTTTCACTAGGATAGAGTTAATTATCTTCTTAGTAGCTAGAATAGCTGTGTTTTGGTTTCAGTATGGGTTTTGTTATGAGAAGAATGTTGATAAGGTCCTAATGTTATTAGTTGCTGCTGGACATCCAAGGTCATCGTGTTTTGCTAGTCTGCAGGTGCAAAGGACTAGTTGGGGGGGAGCGTAGTAATTAGCAAAACCCAAAATTGGC